TTAATCATTTTACTGGGGGCTCTTACAGCTCGTATCACAACCCATACCTATACCCATGGTGTCAGTACATTTGTACGGATGTTGCCATCACCATTTTCAAAACATTTTTTTTCTACTTGAGCCCTTGGTATCAGCTCCTCCTTTTTTCCCCCCTCGCTCCCCCACCCTCCCCTTCATGAACACTTGATAATTTATAAATTATTGTGTTTTCTGTTTTCTTTTGTTTTTTTATGTCTTATGCCAACTGCTGTGTCCCTTCACCCACCTTTCTATTGTCAGTCCCCCTGGGAGGGGGTGATATGTCAATCATTGTGATCGGTTCCCCATTACTCTCCCCCTCTTCCCTTACCCTCCTAGTATTGCTACTCTCATTATTGGTCCTGAAGGGTTTATCTGTCCTGGATTCCCTGTGTTGCCAGCTCTTATCTGTACCACTGTATATGCTCTGGTCTAGTCGGATTTGTGAGACAGAATTGGGGTCATGGCAGTGGGGTTGGGGGGAAGCATTAAAGAATTAGAGGAAAGTTGTGTGTTTCACCAGTGCTATATAGTACCCTGACTGGCTGTCTCTTCCTTGTGACCCTTCTGAAAGGGGATGTCTAATTGACTACAGATGGGCTTTGGGTCTCCACTCTGCCCTCCCCCTCATTCACATCTATATGAATTTTTTGTTTTGGATCTTTGATGCCTGATACCCGACCCCAGAGACACCACATGATCACACAGACTGGTGTGTTTTGTTAAGACCCCCGGAGCTATATCTTTGGACAGCCGGGCACCATCAGCTTTCTTCTCTACATTTGCTTATGCATCCACTTTGTCTTCAGGGATCATGTCAGGGAAAGTAAGCAGCACAGAGTGCTGGGTTAGTAGAACAAAGTGTTCTTGTGTTGAGGGAATACTCGAATGGAGGCCCAATGTCCATCTGCTACATTGATACTTAACATATAAATATATGTACATAGTTATTCCCCTATCATTATATATAAATGTATTTACATATATGCATGCCTGTATTTAGACCTCTATACATGTCCTTTACTCTTATTTCCTTTTACTTTCCTCTTGTCCCACGATCATGATTGCCCTTCATTTGGGTTTCGGTAATTCCTGTCGGCTACATTGCCCTTGATCAAGCCCCCACCCCAGCCCCTCCCCAGGCATCCTATGCCATCCTCACCATCAACCTTAGATCACTTGCTCTTCCCTTGTGCCTGAGTTTTTTGGCACCCCCCTTCCTTTCCCCCATCTCCCCTTCTCCCATGTCCCCCGGAACCTTCGTTCCCACTGTTTTCTCCACCGGATTGTTTATCCCACTTATCGTATCTAGATAGTCATCTCTCTTTTAAAGCACAAAGTTTTGTTTCTCTAGTCTAACTGGACTCACACACCAACCAACCAAGCAAAATCCAACACAGCCTGATACTCCCTGGAAAACACATTTGCATTGTTTTTAATAAATATCAAGCACTACTAAGACAAAAAATACACCTTTATGGGAGCAGATAGCTCATCCTGCTCCCATGGAGAGGCTGTTGAGTTTGAACTCCTGACCTTGTGTTTACAGCATAATGCATAGCCACCAGCGGTGAGAATGATGAGGCTGTAAAGAGTTACAGTCTCAGAAGGCCGCAGGAGCGGTTCTAACCTGCCCTGTAGGGAGGTCATGAGTCAGCATCAGTCTCGGTAGCTGAGTGCTTGTTTTATCCCATCATTTAGTGGGAGGTACAAAAGCAATGGCTGGAAGGGTCGTATTGAGTAAGTCACTGTTCTGCATCTTGTGATAGGGGTGCATGTGCTACTCTTGATTGACGCTGATGGCTTATGCCAGTGAGGTGGGCCCCTCATGGTGGACCCTAGAGGGTTTGTGCTAAGAGACAATTCAGGGTGGGGGCTGGCCACTCCAGAAAGAACTCCAGGTAATAATGAAAAGTCTGGAGCATTGAGCCCCATGCTGTCAGCCCCATCTCCAGGGAGGAGGGGTGCTGGAGATGGGGTTCAATCGTATGGCTACTGATTCAACCAGCCATTAAACCGGAAACTCACTGCCATCGGGTCCGTTCTGACTCAGTAGCCTAGAGGACACACCCATCCAGCCCACGGGCCGTCAAAAAACCCACAGACTCATCAATCCCGCTAATGTCGCCGTCCCACCATAAAGCAGCCGTCCCAGTCAGCATGTTAGGGAAGAGTTAACAAGACGTTTGCCCAATATGGCCTACTAATGATGTTACTAAGAGACAAATAAATGGCCCTTGGGAAAAGGGGGGGTCTCTCTCCTGCTATGGGATACAGCAGAACTGCCCCTTTGGGTTTCTGAGACCAAATCTTCACGCAAGTAGACAGCCTCATCTTTCTCCGTGGAGTGTGGTTCGAACCGCAGACCGTCCAGTGGGCAACTCAATGTGTAGCTCTCTACACCCCCACTCTGGACACTGAAGTCCCAAATTCCGGTGAGCTTTCCTGTTTAGCACCATTCTGCGTGTGGTTTCACATCAGTGGACTGAGGGTGGCTCATCCTGACTCCACGTGGGAAGGACAACATAGAAGATAAAGTCACCTTTGGGATGGGACACCCCCCAGGTCCCCCAGACCGTGTGTGTGTGTGTGTGTGTGTGTCTGTCTGTCTCTGGCTGGTGCTGAATTGTATCCCTTTGCTAGAATCAAACTGTAGTCCTCAGTGCGGCACCTTCTTGGGGTCTAGCGTGAGGAGTCTTGATGAGATGAACAAGCCTGAAGGGCAGTGGGAACCCCACTTTGTTGCCTGCTGGCCAGAGGTGACAGCTGCCTGAGGGTCCACCTGCGCCTGTGGCTGGTGTCTTGCGGTGAGGGCAGGCGTGTGGAGGGAGGGCTGTGCCCTTCACCGTGTGGGAAGAACTTCTGATTAGTTGGTCTCAGAGGACCACGTAAGGTGTCTGAACATGCCAATCCCACCTTCTCGCCTCGAATACAATACAACCTGGTTCTATCTTACCCCCACTTCTGAAAAACCAAAGGAAAACACCAACCCTTCTCACATTTGAGATGACCTCTCCAACTACCCAGTCCAGAGGAGATGGGGTCAGAGTGGAAATGTGTGCGGGTGGGGGAAGGGCTGGATTTGTATAAGGGTTTGGGTTTTGATGGAATCAGCAGAAAACCACTGACGAGTTTTGGTCATCTGAACTCTGGCTCTGTGTACAAGGCCACTAACTCATTCAGGGAGGAGGCGATGGTAGTGTGCACCTAGACGGAGGTGGGGACAGCAGGCAGTGAGAAGTGTTAGAGCCCCAGGGGACTTGAACAATTAAATGAAGCAGAGAAGTTAAGGACTGCAAGCCTTTTCATCTGTGTAACCTGAAGGATGGAGGTACCGTTGTCGTAAACAAAGGAGGCAGTGGATGGGAAGGACACGGTGATCTTGGACAGGCCTTTCAGACCTCCTGTTGTCTGGAGTTCAGGAGAGCTCTGGGCTGACAGTCACAAGGTTAGAAAGGCCCAGCCCATGAATGGCATTTAGGTCTGAGCTGGGGGAATCACCAAGGAAGAGGCCCGGGATTAAAAACTCCAGGAACTAAACTCAGGTTTGTGAAACAAACAAACAAAAAAATCAGTGAATCAGTTCCAGTTCAAAGATTTTATTGGGTTGGGAGAAAAGCTCCCCTCAAACAGGGAACATCCCTCTGAAGAGATGAGCCGGTCAGGCTACAATTTTGATCAGCTTATAGACAGTGCAAACTGTTAGGGGATTTCCCAAAGGGGCATTTGAAATGGTTGGCTGCCCGACACATCATCAGCAGGAGGCAGCTTGGACTGGTCGAGTAAGTTTGCATACCTTCTACAGGCTAGTTATGCTTTATCTAAACCTTGAAACTTTTCCCAGAACCGTCCTTATTACAGGTTTGGAGCTTCCAGGAAGGACTGCGTCAGTTTAGAGGAGGAGGGTGGTGCTTTGTGTAACGGAACAAGGGAAGGTCAGGGGCAAGAAGAGGAACTAGTAATGAGCAGCCAGGGAAATAGGAAGGAAATGAGGAAGGTCCGTCTGGCTTTCTGGAAGCCAAGAAAAGAGGGTCACTGTTGAAACAACAAACGCATGAATGCCTTGGAAACCCTGCGGGGCGGTTTTACTGTCCTATATGGTTCCTGTGAGCTGGACGGGATGGGAGTGAGGCTTTACTGGCCCAACCACCATTTACTATCTATCAGGGCCCCTCTCTTCTTTCTCAGCCCCCCAAGGATTAAACCCCATGGGAGAGGAGCTCTGCATTTGGTCCGCTGATTTATTTTATTCCAAGCTCCTGGAACCGTGCCAGGCAAGCAAGGCTCACTGGCAGGCTGGTTGCTTTAGAAATCGGAATCGAATGCATAAAACCAAGAGCCCTGCTAGGACTGTGGGTGAAGCATGAGACCGCTAACCACAAGGTCGGAGGTTCAAAGCCATCAGCGGGGCCACCAGTGAAAGATAAGGGGAGGCTGCCGGCTCCTGGCGGGATTTAGGGTTCCACCCTGTCTAACAGGGTCACTCTGGGTCAGAAGAGACTCCACACCAGAGGTTTGGGGCTGTTTACAAAACAACACCGCCAGAGAGCCGAGGTGCACACTCGGGCCCGCGGGGCAGCCCGGCCCGGGAGCCCCGCCCACTTCCCAGCCCCACGCCCCGCCCCGCCCGCGCCGGGCACGCGCAGCTCCCTGCCCGCGCGACGCCGTCCGTCGAAGCACGAACCCCTCGGGCACGTGACCGGTGTCGCGCCAGTAGGCGTCACGTGACAGGCTCCGTTTTCCTCCAATCATTGGGCAGCAGAGGGACCGTCGCCCCCGCCCCCGCGGCCCTGGCCCTCGGCTTGCCAGGCCCCTTTCCCCGGACGCCTGAACTGCCCGGCTCCCGGCTCCCCGCTGCGCAGTGGCACCTCTCGAGGGGTCCCGCCGGTCGAGGGGCTAAGCGAGGCCCGGGCCTCCCGCGCCCTCCGTGCCGGAAGTGACGCCGCCCAGAGGAGCCGGAAGTGGCAGTGGAGGGAGGGAAGATGGCGGAGGTGGTGAGTCCGGTGCCCGGGGCGGGGCGGAGGGAGCCAGGGGAGGTGGGTAGAGCCCGAGGACCCCCAGTAGCCGACCCTGGCGCCGCGCTGTCTCCCCAGGGGGAGATAATCGAGGGCTGCCGCCTGCCTGTCCTGCGGCGGAACCAGGACAACGAGGATGAGTGGCGTGAGTGACGTCGGGGGGCGGGGCTAAGGGACCTGAGGGCGAGGGGCGGGGCGGAGGCAAGCCGGCCCCCCGGGAGGGGGCGGGGCCTCTGGCTCCCGGGGCGGGCGGGGCGCGGGCACTCCGGCGGAGGGGCGTGGCGTGGGGGCTGCTTCAGATGGGCAGGGCGGGGCTTGGGGAGGGGGTGCCGTTCGGAGAGCGGAGGGGGCTCCGGCCAGGGCTCCCCGTGCTGGGGGTGGGGGGCTCGAGGCGGAGTCCCGGCTGCGGGAGGTGGAGCCTCGCGGCCTGGCCCCGCTCAGGCTCCCGCCTGTTCTGCACACACAGCCCTGGCCGAGATCCTGAGCGTGAAAGACATCAGTGGTCGGAAGCTCTTCTACGTGCATTACATCGACTGTGAGTTCTGGGACGGGCCGAGGCGGGGCTGCAGGGTCGTTTGGCGGGGTGGGGGCCGCCGGTGGCACTCCTTCCTGAGCCATCCCCACTGCTGCAGTCAACAAACGGCTGGATGAGTGGGTGACCCACGAGCGCCTGGACTTAAAGAAGATCCAGTTTCCCAAGAAAGAGGCCAAGACACCCACCAAGAACGGGCTTCCTGGGTCCCGCCCCGGCTCTCCAGAGAGAGAGGTGGTGAGTAGGCCCCCCCCCCCCCACTTCTCTTGTGCTCTCTTGCCTACGCCTTCTCTCACGTCTTGGCTTCAGGGGCATCCGGATGGGCAGGAGGCCTGAGAACCTCCCACCCCGACTGCAGCCCCCCCTGGGTTGGGGCGTCACCTTGCAGACCTAGCCTTCCGAATCCAGTGCCTGTCCCAGTGTCCTTGAGAGGGCAGGAGGGGGGGGGTGATCACTGGGTGCCGAGGACACCCGTCTCCCTGCCCCCCGCCCACCACCATGCCACCCCAGAGGAAGACTCTGGACCTATCTCTACAGCCGGCCTCCGCCCAGGCCAGCGGGAAGACCTTGCCAATCCCGGTCCAGATCACTCTCCGCTTCAACCTGCCCAAGGAGCGGGAGGCCGTCCCGGGCAGCGAGCCCGACCAGCCGCTGTCCTGCAGCTCCTGCCTGCAACCCAGCCACCGCGCCACGGTACCCTCAGCCATTCCAGGGACCTCGCTTTCCTCTCAGGTCCCGCCTTCCCTACCTTCTGACCCACCTTTCTTGGTTTCTCTCTGCAGAAACGGAAGGTGGAAGTGGTTTCACCAGCAACCCCGGTGCCCAGCGAGACAGCCCCGGCCTCGGTGTTTCCCCAGGTGAGTACCCCAGACCATGGCTTCTTCTCTTCCTGCCTCCTCTCCCCCCTGGTGGCTCACCTCACAGCACCCCCCTCCCCGTTCCTATTGTCTCGACAGAACGGCTCGGCTCGTAGGGCAGTGGCCGCGCAGCCCGGGCGGAAGCGGAAATCCAACTGCTTGGGCACTGATGAGGTGGGTCTGGGGAGCGGTGTTGGCATTGGGTGCCTGGTAGGTCACGTTTTGGGCTGGTCCCTGGGTGACCTCAAGGTCTCCGTTTCTTCATCTGGGAAGTGGGGCTCGAGCCCCTGCCGGCAGCACTGTGGTGAAGGCGGTTGCGGCCTGCTCTGTCCTCACCTTTAACTAGGGGGCTTCTTCCCCTGGCTGTGGGCAGGATTCCCAGGACAGCTCCGATGGCATTCCATCCGCCCCACGCATGACTGGCAGCCTGGTGTCGGACCGGAGTCACGACGACATCGTCACCCGGATGAAAAACATCGAGTGCATCGAGCTGGGCCGTCACCGCCTCAAGCCCTGGTACTTCTCCCCGTACCCCCAGGAGCTCACCACGCTGCCCGTCCTCTACCTCTGCGAGTTCTGCCTCAAGTACGGCCGGAGCCTCAAGTGTCTGCAGCGTCACTTGGTACGAGGGCTCCCAGCCTTAGAGACGGCTCTCCCGGCACCCCGTGCCCAGGATCCTCCCTGACCCTCCTCTCCTCCCCAGACCAAGTGCGACCTGCGGCACCCTCCGGGCAACGAGATTTACCGCAAGGGCACCATCTCCTTCTTTGAAATCGATGGCCGGAAGAACAAGGTCAGTTGTTGGAGGCGTGTCTTTGGGGCTGGAGGGGGCGGGGGCATGAGGGGATACAGCTTCTTCCTGCCCAGGAACACGCACCAGGACAGCCTCTGCTCTCTTGAGAGCCTGCAGCCCCGGGGAGACAGATGAGCCATCAACTCTTAGGTCCAGCATAACAAGTGTCATGAGTCAAGGGGCGGGTTATCAGGACCTTAACAACGCGGTGGTCACAGAGGCTTCAGAGCCCCACCACCCGCAGGCAGGAATTCAGAGCAGTGCTGTGCGACAGAGCCATAGCAATCAATGCCGGGGCGGGCACAGAGAGCACCCAGCTGGCTGGCTGAGTGTGGGGAGAGCAGTCGCTAAGAATGAGGTCAGTGGGGGTGGTGTGGGGTGACTACCTGTGAGGGAGGTGGGCTGATATGAAGACTGAGTGAACCTCCCCCCTTCTTGGGCCTACGGAGGTGGGGAGCAGGCAGGCACCTGGAAAGGCAGGAGTGCTCAGGCTGGGCTGAGGGGCAGCCCCAGAAGAAGCGGTCACATTGACCACTGTCCAATACAGTGAGGGTGGCCTTGGCCCAGGGGGTACTGGCAGTGCTACCTGAATGCAAGAGGGGCTGTAAGCAGAGGCGCAGTAGCAGTGCGGGTCGGCTGTTCTGTCCACAGTCAAGCTCCCTCACTTCCAGCCCCTTGGCATGGGACTGGGAGGGGAGACTCCCTGGATGTCCCCAGACACCACAGCTTCTCGCACACGTCTGGGCCCCGGCCCTGTCCCAGTGTGCTAACTGTTGTTACACCAAGCCCTGACGTGGGGCCGACACGGGATAAACAGACGAGGTCTGATGGCCACGGCCCTAATGATGGCTCTTCTCCTTCGCAGAGCTACTCCCAGAACCTGTGTCTTTTGGCCAAGTGCTTCCTGGACCACAAAACATTATACTACGACACAGACCCCTTCCTCTTCTACGTCATGACGGAGTACGACAGCAAGGGGTTCCACATCGTGGGCTACTTCTCCAAGGTCAGTGCTCACCCCGCTGCCTCAGCCTGCCCCACCAGGGCTGTCCCCGTGCTCACCGCCCCCTCTTCTCCAGGAGAAGGAGTCCACGGAAGATTACAACGTGGCCTGCATCCTGACGCTGCCTCCCTACCAGCGCCGAGGCTACGGCAAACTGCTGATCGAGTTCAGTGAGTACCTGGGCCATGCTCGGGTCTCTAGTCCCCAAGCCAGAAAGAGGCCTGGGGCAGGCTGCCCGCCCCCACCCCAGCCCCAACTGGTCCTTGGCCAAGGTTCGAAGCACCACCCAACTTGCCGAAACACCCACACCTTCCTGAGCCAGGACCACTGCCACTTCACCCAGCCACCACCCTCACCTGGCAGACACTAGTTGTTGAGTGCCCACTCACACAGATGTGATGGCCAACACCCATGGATTTGCCCCCCACCCCTTGTATCCAGGCACAGAAATCTCAAGCCCTTGGGGTCCAGTCCCTTCCCCATCACACAGACACTTGGGTGCACTTTCCTCTCCAGCTCCGAGACCCCTCCCTCCCTCCCAGCTGCTCCACGGTCTGTTTCCCTCAAGCTCCCTAGTCCCGTCCCCCCCGCCCCCCCAGCAGGGAGAGCAGAGCAGCTGCTGGCTGAGCCACAGCACTGACCGAGGTCTTAATCCATCTGAGGAACACTCGTGATCAGGTGGAGTCCAGGTAGAGCCAGGACGGTGAGCCTGGAAGAGTAGCAGATGCTCAAAGTGGCCCTGCAGAAGCCCTGAGCCTGGATAGGTGGGGGTCCGCTCTGACAAAGGGCCGTCCCTAAGTGCCATTTCAGGCAGCTCAGAGGGTAAGTTGCCCCAGGTGTCACCCATGGCTGAGGTGAACAGGGCCTCCAAGTGACCTACATGGACCCCATAAAGTTGAATACATACGTTCACATGGACAGCCAATCACCCTGCATTGTTGGGGAGCCTAGAGGCAGTTGGGCAAGAGGGACAAAGGCCCACTATGGTGGCTTGATGGGAGAAGGATTAGCTTTGCCAGAGGTGGGAAGCCACTTGGCTCTGCAGGGCATCCCCAGTGCCCAACAGTCCTCTGGGGTTTGGCTGCCCCTCGCAGTCCGAGCACCAGCTGTCGGCCAGGCACATGGATGCAAAGGAGGGCCTCCTTCTCGCTGGGCAAGCACGTGGCTCCTGCTGATTGCTTCTTCATAGCCCGCAGGACGTGGGGCCACTGACGGGGCTGGCCAGAGGGGCTTTCACACGCACCCACATCCCCCTCTTGGGTGCTCAGGGCAGTAGGTCGCAGGGGTGACAAGGAAAAGTGGCTTTTCCTTCCAGATGCCAGTCTTTCAGAGCCCCCAAGGCCTCCCCTGCTGCATCAGCACGCTCATGTTAGCTACTCGTCTCCTTACAAAGCACCCACCGGTGCTTGGTAAAGGCCAGCTGCTGCCAGCACCTGACGCATGGGCGGTCCTGTGCAATGGGTTCTTTCATAGTCCTTCATGAGGAAATGGGCACCCAGGCAGGCCACAGAACGAGGTGGCCGGCCCAAGACCAGACCCAGGAAGTCAACCTCCACCACCCACGCAAGCCCTCCTGCTCCACCCTCTAGGTTACGAGCTCTCCAAAGTGGAAGGGAAAACCGGGACCCCCGAGAAGCCCCTCTCAGACCTCGGCCTCCTGTCCTACCGAAGCTACTGGTCCCAAACCATCCTGGAGATCCTGATGGGGCTGAAGTCGGAGAGCGGGGAGCGGCCGCAGATCACCATCAAGTGAGTTTGGCCCACCCATGGCTTGCAGGGCCTGGCTTTGCTGGGTGGGAGGGGGAGGGTGTGGCCTGGGCGGAGGGGCAGGCCCTGGGGCGCTGACCTCTGCCCCTCCCCAGCGAGATCAGTGAGATCACCAGCATCAAGAAGGAGGACGTCATCTCCACCCTACAGTACCTCAACCTCATCAACTACTACAAGGTAGGAGGAGGCCCGGGGGGAGGGGCAGCTCCGTGAGCTCTAGGACGCAGGCTGACCTGCCGGCTGCTCCCCGGCCCAGGGCCAGTATATCCTGACACTCTCTGAGGACATCGTGGACGGGCACGAACGGGCCATGCTCAAGCGGCTGCTCCGGATCGACTCCAAGTGTCTGCACTTCACTCCCAAGGACTGGAGCAAGAGGGGGAAGTGGTGACCAGACACGGCCCCCTGGGGCTGAAAGCCCAGCCTGCCCCCCAAGGACAAAGATGCGCAGGACTGGAGGGCCAGCGCCAGAGCACGCTCAGGCCTCGGGCAGACTCCGTGGGCAGCTGTCTGCGGGGCCAGGGACCAGAGAGAAGCCGGCAGCTGTGTACAGTGAGGACAGGCTTGGTGTAAAGATTTCTTTTGTAAAACAGGTGCTGGGAGTGGGCGGGGCCCGGCTGCAGAAAGCAGACTCCCACCCCCACCCCCCAACAATAAACGGTTTCTACAGGTCAGGGCCCTTGAGTCGGCTTCTGGGTGGGCCCTGGCAGCAGGGGGCTCCAACATGGCTTGATTGCTAGGGGCTGTGTCCAGGGGTCAGTGGCTTCAGTCTGGTGGCTGGTCCTCAGTCCTCAGGCACGGGCGCATGAACCTGCAAGAGGGGGCGGGGTTGGGGGGTGCTATCAGACTCCCTGTGATCAGGTGGCTGCAGCTGCTCAAAATGCTATCTATCCCTTCCTAGGGCATTCCAGGAAGCCCCGATCTGACCCCATTGTGCTCCCCAGCCCTAAAGTGTCCAGTCCCCTTGGGGGGGTTGTACTTACTGCAGCTGCGAGCCTAGGCCAGGTCAAGGCCCCACGCACCTTGGCGTCAGGCCCGGGGATGGTCTCCAGACCCCACAGGTGGAAGCGGTCAAAACTGGCCGTCGCCCCGATACAGCGGTCCTGGGGAGGGGGCCCACTCAGCTTGGAGACGCCACTCCCACCCGCACCCCCTCCCTGCCCGGGCACCCTCTGCTCACGAAGCCCCGCTCCAGCGGCTCTGGGCGAGTCTGCCCCTCGCCGTCGTCCTCGACCCTCGATTTGTGCTTCCTCCCCAAGCCTGTCAACACCTCTGCCTTCTCGTCCGCCTCCATCACGTAGCCCGCGAGGCCAGGCGGAACCACCACCTCTTCGCCTCTCAAAGTGCGGCCCCGAAACGACACCTCGAGCCCTGCGAAAGAGAAGTGCTGAGTCCCAGAACCCAGAGGCGCTTCCCGCCACCTCCAAGCGGACTACGAGCCCCAGGAGCCCTTGCGGCGTTCTTCGCCGAGGGGCGCGGGCGCGGGGGCTGTCGGGAGACGTAGTCCGCCTCAGCACGAACCGTCGGCCCGCTGGCGGATGGCAGGGGTGAAGAAACGCTCGACGGGGGCGGGCCGGCTGGCCAGGACCTCGCAGGGCAGGAGGTGCAGCGTGGCGGGGGCGGCGTCGCGCAGCGTATCGGGGCGCAAGTGCAGGCGATGCCTCCCAGTTGCGTCCTCGCCGCTCTCCATCTTCCGGGCCGACGAGAGGCCTTCTCCGGCGGTTTGCTAAGGCTGGCGCGTACGGGGCGCAGAGCTTGTCGGGAGGCCGGCTGCTCTCGCCGCAGAGCACCATGGGAAGTGTAGTCCCTTCCTTGAGGCGACGCTGTAAGCTCCGCCTCCCTTGAGTAAAACGTTCCAGTATCTTTCCTTTCATGGCTTTTGAAATCCAAAAGTAATCTGGAGAATTGTAATAAAACAACCATAAAAGTTTAACCAATTAAGTGTAAAAGTCAGTGGCATTAATTACATTCATAAAGTTGTGCTTCCATCACTATTTCCAAAATTGTTCATCTCCCCTAACGGAAACTCACGCAAGCAATAACTCCCCATTCTCCCGCTCCCTGCCCCTGGTAACTTCCCATCTGCTTCCTGTCCCTATGAATTTATCCATTCTAGATGTTTCTTCAGGCCACCCAGCTGGCCGTGGTACTGTGATGAGCTCCACAATTTCATCTACTGGGAGAGATCCTTGCCGTGGACAGATATCAGCAGAACTTACAGACTGGGAAAAAAAGCCTGGAAGCTTGGGGACATTGAGCAGTAAAAACTTTTTGGCTCACAACAGAATACTCCACAGAGTGCTGGAGAGGAGCCCCCAGGTCAGAAGGCAATACCCAATGGACGGAAATATGCCAGTGACCGGGAAAAGGTCGAAAGCATTGGACAGTGTTTTGTCCCCTGATACATAAGGTCCACAGGAGTCCACCTGTCTTAGGTGCCATCGAGCTGGTGCCAAACCGTTGTCGTCGGGGCCATGAAGTTGGTTCTGATTCACAGTGGCTCTGCACGACCGGATGAGACCAGTCGGCCCTGTGCAGTATGTGAGCCCGTGGCTGCAGCCTCCGTGTCCCTCCGTGTTGTGGAGTGGCTGCAGCCTCGTGTCCCTCCGTGTTGTGGAGTGGCGCACCCTCCTCTTTTTGCTGC